ATATATATTCTAGAGTGGGCTTGGGGATTGAGAGATAGGGAATATTGCCAGGGGGTCAGATATTGACAGAACATGGGAGGCGGGCAGGGATGGGACATTTGGGAGGTCCAGAAACACGTGAGAACGGGCCGTTAGGAGGTCCAGTGTTAGCGGTGATGTCATTCAGAAGGGCACCGCACCGTAGATTGTGGGCACAAGAGAATGTTTTCGGAATGAAATGTCATGGGCGTCTAGAACCTTCTTGAGTACAAAACATAGAAGGGTCTAAAATATTGGCAAGGAAAAGACTTTGTATGCCTCTATGCCAGTGATGGCGAACCTTTTGAGCTCGGCGTGTCAGCATTTTGAAAAACCCTAACTCAAATCTGGTGCCGTGTCACATATAGAAATTTTTTGATATCTGCAACCATAGTAAAACAAAGACTTATATTTTTGGTATTTATTTTATATATTTAAATGCCATTTAACAAAGAAAAATCAACCAAAAAAAATGAGTTCGCTTGTCACCTCTGACACGCGTGTCATAGGTTCGCTATCACTGCTATATGCATTACCTATGGACACAGACAATAGGGTGGTGAAGGCCTGGGGCGGGCTGGAGGGGGTCAATGAGGGGAAAAAGGGGACCTATGTAATACTTTCAACAATAAAGAATTATTTTTTAAAAGCACAGAAAAATCCTATATAATAAAAGGCTAATATGCAAATCAACTGAATGGCGGAACGACCGGTTGCTATGATGCACACTGACCACCAGGCGGCAGACGCTCAATTCACGGCTGGCGAGTGCATTGGCGGTGGTAGGAGCCTCTCTCACCTCCGTGGCAGTCGGACACCTCCCGAGGGCTCCCGGACTGCAAGAGGGCATAGGCCACTCTGAGGGACATGCCCCCACCCCCGAGTGCACGAATTTCGTACACCAGGCCTCTAGTATAAAATAAAATATTGGCAATGAGTAAGTATCTGGAGGGGTATAGAATATTTCCAAGAATGGTACATTCATGGGGCATGGGATATCGCTGGGATGGGCTGGAGGTGCCTATGTGTTCCCAAGATAGAACATTTAGATCAGTGGTTCTCAACTTTCCTAACGCCACGACCCTTTAATACAGTTGCTCATGTTGTGGTGACCCCCAATTTCATGGTTACAAATTGAACATAATGAAAGCCTAGTGATTCATCACAAAAACAATGTCATTATATACGGGTTTTCCGATGGTCTTAGGTGACCCCTGTGAAAGGGTCATTCGACCCCCAAAGGGGTCGAGACCCACAGGTTGAGAACCGCTGATTTAGATGGTGATCTAGGTGGATGCTGGCTGACACAGTTGGGAGATCCGGAACATATCCGGGTTGGGACTCTCGGGGGTACTGGGGTGTTTCAACGCCTGGTAGACCGTGATGCCGACGGGGACCGAGTGCTTTTGGAAACACGGAATGTCATACCCGGGGTGTGACACGCCGGGAACACGGATCGCCAGTTCAAGTGGGATGCCCTGGGAGGGGCCGGGGAGGGCTGGGCAGGCTGCAGAAGGAGGGCTCCAAGGGAGTGAGGAGGTGGGTCAGTCAACCCGACTTTTATTGTGGGCCCTTCGTCCCTTCCTGCTCTTGGGGTCTCTGTCTTCGGATGGTTGCCTGGATCCATGAAATGTATTGAGAGACGCGGGTATAGACGCCAGGCCGGTTGGGCTGCCCACAGGGGAAGTCTCCCCAGGAGATGATACCGTGGAGCCTTCCGTTGCAGACCAGGGGGCCTCCTGAGTCGCCCTGAGTGGGGGAGACAGAAAGGGGGGTGGTCTGTGCTGGAGCCACACAAAGGCAGAGAGGGGGACTTGTGGGGCGAGAGTGAAAGATGGAGCGAGACAGACATGGAGGCAGAGAGAGAGACGGGGGACTATGGAGAGACAGTGAGCAGCAGAGACAGGGAGGAACAGATAAAAAGACAAACTAAAAAGCAAAAACAGCCAAAACTGGTTTGGCTCAGTGGATAGAGCGTCAGCCTGCGGACGGAAGGGTCCCACGTTCGATTCCAGTCAAGGGCATGTACCAGGGTTGTGGGCACATCCCCAGTAGGAGGTGTGCAGGAGGCAGCTGATCGATGTTTCTCTCTCATCGATGTTTCTAGCTCTCTATCTCTCTCTTCCTCACTGTAAAAAATCAATAAAATATATTAAAAAAAAACCCAAAACAAAGATAAACTCAGAAGGACAGAGAGTGAGAGAGAGAGACACTGAGCTGGGGGGAGACTTCTGTGTCTCCCCGTTTTTCCGTTTTTGTTCCTCTAGCTCAGTGGTTCTCAACCTTCCTGATGCCGCGACCCTGTAATCCATTCCTCATGTTGTGGTGACCCTCAATTTCATTGTTACAAATTGAACATAATGAAAGCATAGTGATTCATCACAAAAACAATATGTCATTATATGTGTGTTTTCCGATGGTCTTAGGCGACCCCTGTGAAAGGGTCGTTCGACCCCCAAAGGGGTTGCGACCCACAGGTTGAGAACCGCTGAAAACCGTGGCTGTTGTATTTAACCCATTTTGGTCTTGCCTTACCGCTCTCACACCCCACAGTTTCAGAGGTTCCCAACTGTAAGACTTTCTTCTTACTCGTTTGCCCCACCCTCCACCCAGGTGG